TTAAACATGAGAGAAATGCAATACTATCTTCCAGTCTGAGATTAGTCTATCAGGCAATCTGGCACACTGGAAAAATGCTTCTTTTCTTCTCTTTCCAAAACTCTGTTGTTTAAATTTGGTGAAGAATGTAGTAAACTTAAGTCTAATTAGTCCCTCAGGGATAACAATGACTAAATCATAAAACAGTCGCCTTGGACTCTACAAGTAATGATCTAGTGGGCAATGATGGTGTTCAAGACTTGAAAGAAAATGCATGTCATGAACATTGCTGTATATACACTGAATCTCAGAACCCAAGGCTGAGAGACGTTGAACTATTCTAAGTACTAAAGAACATGACTTCGGTTACATTTCCAATACCATAGAAAATCCCAAGCAATGTGTAAAATAGCAAGTACCTCCAGTCCAGTGCTCTTTGCAGGAAGTGGGTTGGACATCACCAGTGAGACAAAGATAGTAAGTTCAATGTCAGCCTGAACTGGTGAGATATTATCTCAAAAAGCCCAGAGTCTGTTCTAGAGCTCAGTGATATAGTACTGACCTAGTGATTTTAGACAGTGGGTCTAATCCTCAGCACTGGAAGAAATTTACCTTTATTATGGCAGCAAATGTATTTTGTACCATAACAGAGTCACTAATGTTATTGATAATATATTTATTTGTTCAAGATACAGGGTAATAAATCTTGATTGACCTTAATGGTCACAACTTATATCCATACCCTTCAGTTCAGTAGAGATGAGTAGGGTCCTGTAAGTAAACCTTTTCCCAGTCAATATTACCTATAAGAACAGAACTGATAGAATGAAATAAAGGAACAGTACACACATGAAAACTGATTTATATTTTATAAGCAAGTCCAAAGTTTAAAATATCCAATATCGGAACTGTTAAAATTGAAATAAAAATATGAAATCCAGTTTTGGCTTTAAAATAGATCAATTGCAACTCTTTTTTTCTTTTACTCTTTTCATCCATTATAATTTATTATCATTATGGTGATGAGAATGGCACCATGCTTACAGATGTGGTTTTGTAGCTAAAACCACACTGAGCAAAATTTGAACAAAAAAACAAGGCATCGAAGTCTACCTCCACATTGTTCCATGTCTTTCAATAAGGCTTTATCTTTTCCAACAAGGCTGTACCCTCTTGAACAAAGACACATTGCCTAATATTCAACTTCATATGAGATTTTCAGTGCTAATTACATTAAATCTATTATATTCCACACACTGGCATCCATAATCTTTCAAAAATAACATAATACAAAATGAATTGAGTCCAACTTCAAAAGTCCCCATAGTCTATTACAGTCTTAAAATTTTTTTTATTAATTTATAAAAATTTCCACTTCCGCCCATCCTCCCAATACCCTCCCACTCCCCCCACTCCCTCTCCTCTTCCCTCTCCAGTCCTAAGAGCAGTCAGGGTTTCCTGCCCTGTGGGAAGTTCAAGTTCCTCCCAGCTCCCTCCAGGTCTAGGAAGCTGAGCATCCCAACAGACTAGGATCCCAAAAAGCCAGTACATGCAGACAAAACAAGTCCCAGTGCCATTATCAATAGCTTCTCAGACAGCCCCCATGTCAGCCACATTCAGAGAATCCAGTTTGATCACATGCTCGTTCAGTCCCCGTCCAGCAGGCCTTGGTGAGTTCTCATTAGATCAGTCCTCTTGTATCAGTGGGTGAACACCACCCTCGCAGTCCTGACTTCCTTGTTCACGTTTTCCCTCCTTCTGCTTCTCATTTGGACCTAGGGAGTGAAGTCCTGTGTTCCAATGTGGGTCTCTGTCTCTATCCCCATCCATAGCCAGATGAAGGTTCTATGGTGATATGCAAAATATTCATCAGTATGGTTATGGGCCAAGACCAGTTCAGTCACCCTCTCCTCTGCTGCCCAGGGAACAATCTGGGGACCTCTCCTTGGACCTGGGAACCCATCTAGAATCAAGTCTCTTGTAAACCCTAAAATGTCTCCCTTAGTTGAGATATATACTTCCCTGCTCCCATATCCATCCTTCCTCCCTCCCCCACATCCCATTCCCCCAAGCTATCCCCAATCCTCCCCTACTACCTTCTCTCTAACCATCTCCGCTTCCTTCTACCCCCCTACCCGCAGTGCACCCAAGATTGCCTGGTAATCTTGTCTACTTCCAATATCCAGGAGGATAACTATATGATTTTCTTCAGGTTCACCTTCTTATTTAGCTTCTCTAGGATCACGAATTATAGGCTCAAAGACCTTTAATTATAGCTAGAATCTACTTATGAGTGATTACACACCATATTCCTGTTTTTGGAACTGGGTTACCTCACTCAGTAAAGCATTTTCTATTTCCATCCATTTGCATGTAAAATTAAAGATGTCATTTTTTTTTTTACCGCTGAGTAAAACTATAATGTGTATATGTTCCACACCTTCTTTAACCATTCTTCTATTGAGGGACACCTAGGTTGTTTCCAGGTTCTGGCTATTACAAATAGTGCTTCTATTTGTAATAGTGCTATGAACATAGTTGAACAAATGTTTTTGTGGTATGATAGGGCATCTCTTGGGTATATTCACAAGAGTGGAATTGATGGGTCCTGAGAGCCGTGTCTCCGCGGCTAGGAGCACCTAACGCTCTGCTATAGTGCCAGTGTTCGCGTGTTTGAGTCCCTTTGGCGTTGCTAGAGATCGATCGATCAGCGATCGATCGCTATCGATTGATAATCAGTAAAAAAAGTTGCAACTCTTATCTATAACTGTCACAGTTTAAATTTTGCCCTTATTCAGAATCAGATTGGCAGTAAGATGGATGGATAAAAGTTTAACATAATATAAAGTTAACATAATTTACAAATATTTCAGCTAGATATAACATATATGATTATAACAGTATAGAACCGATAACAAATTTATTTGTAATAGACTAAAAGACTTCAAGTGATTGGCAATAAAAAACTAAGTGATTAGATGGTAATAAATCCATATAATAACATTCTGAATAATAAAAATAGAAATGTAGATAAATATTTAAATTATTATTTTGAATAAAAAAGCTAAGAATATCTTAATAAAATATCTATCTACATGAAATTATAGAAATGTCAGTCACCAATTCACTGTGACAATGTGAAAATCAACTCCTGTCTTTGGGTAGAGACTAAAAGACTAGTCATGAAGCATAATCAACTATTTGTTATTTTTACTGTAGTAATAAGTCCAAAACTCATAAATATTTTAAAAATAATCTTTTTTACTTTTCACATATGTGCAGTTTCATGTATTTCAATTTCCCTCAAAAAATTTATTTGATGCTATCTCATAAACATCAAAAATTAATGGTTATATTCAGAATATCTAATATGGAGAGTTTGTCAGTATACTACCAAATTTGTAAATTAATTGTAAAACTAGTACTTTTGAATTTTGATTCATTCTATTCAAGAATTAAGTTCTCATTTGTTCATATCTACTTTTGTACATTTTAGGAGTAAGTGAGTTTTCCTAGAGAAAGAATTTCACTCCTTCTGTTTAGTGCAGGCACAAATACCCAGTTTCTTATTCCTTCTAGCGGGGTTTATGTCTTGTAGCTAGATAAATTTCATTCTGAATTATGAAGGTTAATTTATCTTTCAGTCATTTACTGAAGTCTTATTAACATCACCAATGCCTTTGAGATTTGGGGTAAGATATTATATTTTCTATAGTTAAAGAAAACTGTTTTCCTTCTTTACTAATTCTCATACTCCTAGGGTATTCATTATGTCACATATAATTGAATAACAATTTATATTTAATAATAGATCAGGATGATCTAGGGACACACTTCATTCACATTGCTTTGGAATAAGGAGATATTGACTTATGGTAGTCAGGAGACAAGTGAAAATCAAATGATCTCACAAACTCGGAATAGAAAAAATTAAAATAAATTTAACAGAACATACAGACTGTATCTGCCAACCTTTTCTGATACTGCTTTTCCCCTGTTCCTTTTGATTTTCTTGTGTATTTGTCTTGTCTTGTCAAGGACTAAAGAATAAACCTAGCATCCAGTTTCATGCTTCTAAATATTTCATATTAGTGAACACCCAAATCCTCTCACACAACTGGTTTTCTTTTTGAAAATTAACATTTGTACTTTGACAGTTCTGTACATGTAGACCATGAGTTTTGCAGTTTGATTGTTCTTAACTCTAACCTATCACTTCTTCATCCCTCTCATGTCTATTCCCTTTTCTCCGACTAATCCCCTTTTATATTTGTGTGTGATTGATTGATTGCTATCCCTTTTATATGACCAAGAACATCTGAATCCTTGTAACTATAACTATGCCTTGTAGTATGATGGGCACATTGGTGATACAACTAAAGACAGTGATTCCCAAACTCCCAGATCCCATCAGCAGTCTATAGATCAGTTATGGGAGGAAGATAATGAAAATGATTATCTAATTTGACAATTTCAAACTACATTCTAATTATTGATGTTTGTACCCTTAGGCAAAAGTTCCTCTCAACACTAATGAGAAAAGTTTTCATTTAGAGTAAAGAATGGGAAATAGAGACTCAAAGCTGCCTGGGATGCTGAGAATAAGTGACAGACAAGATTTGTAGCCTAAACAAGCTACCCTCTATGGCTCAAGAGACATTTCGATGAAGGACAGAAGGAATGTAAGATGCAAAAGATAGGGAGGAAAGCAGTAAAAGTATACCCTGGATAACACAATCATTGTAAGCATGAACTAAAAGAATGTGTCACTGTTCTTAGAAACAGAAATCATTCAATAAAACCTTTTGCAAAATAATTTTCTATTTTATTGAAAAAATTTAAACAGCTATATATGGTAAGGTATTTTCTAAAGTACAGATATTGCATGTATGCCTATGGCATAGTGTTTGCCTGGCATCCAGAATACTCTGAGATCAATCCCAGAACCACATACAAAGATATATTGGATAATACAAGATAGAAAAGAAAATGAATAGAAAGATCATGCTTTTCTAAGAATAATTATCTCCTCTCATGTATTGTTTTCCAAACATAAGACCTATCTCCTCAACAAGAATCTGCCCAATGCTTTCTTCACATCTTTGTTCCTCAAACTATATATTAATGGGTTCAGCATGGGGATCACTGTGGTATAGAACACAGAAGACACCTTCTCTTGCTCAAGAGTATTACTTGAAGAAGGCTTGAAATACATAAATGTGATAGATCCAAAGAAGATTCCCACAGCCATGAGATGAGAACTGCAGGTTCCAAAGGCTTTGAACCGGCCCTCTGATGACCTGATGCGAAGGATGCTGCTAAAGATGAAGACATAGGAGATTGCAACAGCTACTGTTGGCACCAAGGTGTTTATCCCTCCAATGATAAATAGAAGAAGTTCATTGAGATGTGTGTTAGAGCACGAAAGGTTGAGGAGGGGTAGAACATCACAGAAGTAATGGCTTATGATGTGGGATTTACAAAAGTTCAGCTTCATCATAGCGCTTGTGTGTGCAATGGCAGACAAAAGGCCTAGGATGAAGGAAACCAGAACTAACAGTGAACAGAGCCTAGAGGACATGATCACATTATACAGTAATGGTCTGCAGATGGCCACATAGCGATCATATGCCATGGCAGTCAGGAGGTAACCCTCAGCCACCACAAAGATCACAAAGAAGAAGAGCTGGGCCAGACATTCAGAGTAGAAGATCAAATTTTTCTTCCCAAGAAAGTTCACCAGCATTTTAGGTGTAATGACAGTGGAATAGCAGAGGTCAACAAAGGACAAGCTGCAGAGGAAATAATACATGGGAGTGTGCAGCAGTGGGCTGACTGTGATGAGCAGGCTCATATCCAGGTTCCCCACTACTGTTACCACATAGATTCCCATGAACAGGAGGAAGAAGGGCAGCAGGAGCTCTGGCTGCTGTGTTAATCCCACCAAGGCAAACACAGCTGGTGTAGAATGATTTCCAATGCCCATCCTTTGAAGATATCTGTGAAAGTAGAAAAAGAAAAAGATTTAATTTACTATCTATCGTACTGCCAAGAACATGCCAAATTTCACATGCAACTTAAAATTCCATATAGAATACTTTATTCTTCTTTCAAATAAAACCAATACTTCAACGAGAGTTTAGAAAATTGTCAATGTATTGTTTTCATCTATGGTCCATGGACCTTTAATATATCTATTTAAATTTATCTCTAAGTCAATTGTGCATTTTAGATCACAAAATGACGTGTTTCTTTACTGGCTTACACACATTTGCCTTTTGGATTTAGCAGCACAATTAAAATTTTCTTCTATGGAGAGAAGAAAACATTTGTTGACATATGAAGAGTAGAAAAGCTGTGTGTGTTTGTTCATGCATTTAATGTTACAGCTCAATGATCAAGACACCTAAGATAATCTGTGACCTCGAACACTCTTTATCTTCTAGGTTGTACTATGTCTATTGCTTCTGAAACCAGTGTCATAGGCATATCTGATGGGAACTGAAAAAGTCATAAAGCCAGCACAGCTGCTTTTAAAAATCCAGCAAAGTTGAGGCACGTGATAACTGCCGTGCCACTATTGGTTTTGATCTCCTCCTATTTTATACTTGAGGAACCTTTAATATTTTTACAGTTTGGTGATATTGGATTGAAGGAAAATTCTTTTTAAGTAATTTATGCTCTCTCCCAGGAGTACTACTTCTAAGCTTCCCCAAGAAAGTCCTGAATATACTACCCCTCCTGCTTTTAGGGAAATATTCTTTTTTACTTGAAGGTCTTCCTTATCTCTTCAAAGTTGTGACAAACATAAAGAAGCCGCAGGTCTCTTTATGAGTCTATGAGATATTCTTGAAACGTCTATCTCTGTACTTACTCAGGAAGAAGATAATCAAAACTAAGTAAATTTAAAAGGCTCACCAAGATTTGATAGACTAGAGGAGTTGGACACAGATCAGATCTCAAGCTTCTTCCCAAGTTAGATTAGATGAAGGAACCTCTGTTCTACAAAGAGATATTAATATTGATAGGCAAAGAATAATGTAGAAAGATGATAAAAGAATGAGATGTCAGGACCTCCTTTTTTTTAGGAAAGTTAGAAGTTAGTTCATGCAGAAGGACTGAGATACCGTTTGGCCAAGAAATAAAAGATGTAATAATTAGACACATAAACAGTTTCTATAAAGATATAAAATATAAGCATTATATCATTCCAGAGTTTGAATAATAACTGCAACATCTTTGGGCTGAGGATTCTACTTGAACACTCTGATCATGAAGAGTTAATTACATACTGTTTGGGATATGGCAATCTGCCAAAGCTGAAATGGAGATTTTGTTTTGGTCTAGAATCCTTAAATTCACAAAAGCTACTAGCTTGAAACAGGCTGTCATATGCTTCTAGATTCTTAAAAATTATATTGTGGAATTGGTGAGTAAAAATGACTGTAAAAAATAACTTTATGAATGATGATTAAATTTAAAGTAAAATGGTTGTAAAGATAACTGTTCTGTCACGATTCTATCAATAATGACTAAAAATATGCAAGATGAAGTGAAACACATATCTAAAAGCAAAATTGATATCTATTTTTTGGAACAGCATGAATTTGCCTCTACTTCCGGAAATCTGTATAAGTAAAGAAGCACTCTGGCTTCTAGTCAATCAGGCTGCAAGATACTCCCAGCCATCAAGCCTGACACACCTCTTCCCTTGTCCGCACCTTACATCCTCTCAAGACCTGCCAACTACTGCGGCTGGCCTCAAGCAGGTGAGGAAGAAATAAAAAAAGGACTACTTGGGGTAGTGGATTAATGATCCCTCTCTCATTGTCTGAGGAAACAAAAACAAAGAGGAAACAATTTGTATTTACCAAGGGATGATAAATTTAAAGTTGGATTTTATCCTTGCTTTCTTTTGCAGATATGTGTATTTTAATGTGCCAGATTCAGAGTCACCAATAAATACATCCTATGGAAGTTCTTTATAGAATCAAATGATTCAGAGTGATGGAATTCCCAGTGAAGTGCTCTGTACCACAGCTGGTTAAATTTGAACTGGAGATCATTCCTTCAGATTGTGTGATCAGTCATTTAAAAAAAAAGAATAAGAAAGGATGACAATAAAAGAGACAGAAAGACATTATCTACTGGAAAGAATATTGAAGCAACTACTCCATATGAGTGAACATGGTTCTTATGCCAGTTTTCCCTTTATGAGATATTAAGCTGTTGCCACAAATGAAACCGGGCACTCACCAAGGTCCTGCACAGAAAGCAAGTTTCTTAGAAATCACTGGGTTTCTTTTTCATGTAACAAATAAGTTTTATGATATTCAAATAATCAGTGTCAATTGCTGACAAACTACCAGTGTCCTGAAGCATATACCCTTTATCTTCTCAGAACCAATAATCACGAGCATGGTGTAATATGGAGTTGAATGTGATGCCCTGAGAGTTATGATTCATTAAAAATACAAAACACTCATAAGTATGCAGATCCCCTAGAGTCCCCAGATTTACGAACAACCTGCAAGAATACTTCTTGGTCTCCTGTTACCATCTGCCCCAAGAGTAATGGTGGTTGTAAAGAAAGTTCTTGAAATGCATTCACAAGTTGTCTGTGAAGATGTAGGAATAAATCAGAAAACAATTGCTGATTCTTGACCAAAATTTTATTAATTTTTGTGTATAGCATAAAATTTTTGTGTAGCTTTGAGGAACTAAAAAAACAAACAAAAATTATTTATACTTTGTTGGAGTGGTCTTAAGAGGGGACTGTGTTTATGAGGAGGAACTAAACAGTTTCTTAGGCAGTCAGTGAATCATCACCAGTGAAATGTGTCTGGGTCAGACATGTATATGTTCTCCTCATTCTAAGCCCAAGTCATTGTGCTTTTGAAATTTTTCCCTCAGTAAAATTCAGAGATTTTTCACCTCAAAATTAAACAGAGAATTCTTCCTCTTCCCTCTGTATAGCATGGCTTTTATTGTTTGTTTTGGGGGTTGATTCTTGCTGTGTAGTCTAAGGACACAAATTTGCAATATTCATGTGTCAACATCCAGGTGTCTGGATCACACATCAGTACAAGTGCTTTGTTTTTTTCCATCTTCTATCTCCCCTCCTACCTGGATTCATCCTCTCTCTGTCTCTTATTAGAAAGAAAACAGGTTTCTAAGGGATAGTAATAAAATAAAATAATATAGAAAACATTGGGATAAAAAGATAAACAAACAGAAGGAAAAGAGCCCAAGAAAGGTGCAAGTTTTAGACATAGATGTAGAGACTTGCTCATTTGCATGCTCAGGAAAACCTTAAAAAACTGAAAGTCATAATATATCTGCAAAGAATGTGTAGGATAAGAAGAGAGAAGAAATTTTTCTCTCTCTCTGTCTGTCTCTCTCTTTCTCTTTTTATTTATATATGTGCATATGTTTGTATATATATATATATAATACTTATGTACATTTTATAGTATAATATATACTGTATATGTCTGCATAAAAATAAATATCAAAACATCTTCACAGTATATTATGAGAACAGTACATTCAAATCTACCTGTGATTTCATTTTTTGTTGACTTTCCAATGCTGGGCAGAGGAGTTTGTTTTCCAGTGAGATTCTCTTGCAGAAAACTCAAATTTCATTTATAAGAGGTTATCAACTGGAGATAGCTTTTGGGTTAGGATTGGGGCATATTTTCACTTCTCCTTTCTTTTCCAGGATACCACTTGTTGCAGACTCTTGCAGGCCCTGTGCATGCTGCCTCAATCTCTATGAGTTCATAGGTGAGCTGATCCTGGTAATATAAATGTCTTCATTTTCTTGAAGTTCTTCATTGTCAGTCTCTTCTACACTTTATGATGCTTCTTTCTCTTCTAGGATGCTTTCCTAATACAGTGCTTTATTCAGTGTAAAGAGAATTTTACCACTATAGCCTTTTCTTAGTTAACTTGTGGAATCCTTTAAATTTATCAATTTTGATTATAAGAATCTGTTTAAATTTAACCATACTATACATACAGTTTTTTAACCTGAAACAAAATTTGATGTGTTTGTCAAACTGCAGCATACTAAAGTAAAATATAAAGATCAAATGAAGACATATGATAAACAATCAGCATAATGTATCAAGCATTATATTTTTTGTAAATGAAGGAAGAATTTCAGTGGTTATTTTTAGTTTTTCTCAATGTAAGAGTTATAGATGTACAGTGAGTTTTAATTTGAGAAATCCATGACTTTTTCCAGTGTTTAACATTAGCATACCATTATCTTGTATATTTAGTGACCTTTCTTCAAACACTCCAACCCTTTCAGTCCATATTTATATGTTTAGTCCACAATATATGTTGCCTTGAATTCTGAACTGATTTTAACAGTTGTAATAATTTTCTTAAATGTAGTGGCTTAAATTTACAGGATTTTATTAAGCTATAATTCCAGAGGAATGTGTAAAATTAGATTTAACTGACCCAAACTGATGCCAGGACTGCACTTCACTTCCCCTAGACATTCGAAGAGAAGAGATAAACAAATACGTCTGTGCTTCTTGGAGCTGCTGGAATTCCTTGCTATGTGATTGTGTCCTTCCAGTCTCCACCTTGTGGCCATAAAGGGACAAATATGTGTATAAATGAGTTCACATGTTCAACAGTCTGGAAGACCTTTCTTCAAATTTAGCTATGCTATCCTTATTTTTCCACCTGTAAGGGCAGTATTTTTATTAAAATCAAAACATTTCAGTGTATTTAAACCTTTCCTCTTCCATCAATTTCTATGTTTCATTGAATGTAAATTTCAATGTTTACAGAGATTACACTAGCTACCAGTAAATTATTTTGTTTGATAATCTAAAAATTATCTCAGAGATTGTCAAGCATAATATAACTGTTTCTCAAGTAATGGTGACTATTTTCTCTGGAGGAAAGAAAAATGCAGAGAAATGATGAGAACGTCTCACATTTCATTTTTTTTTTCTCTCAGGATGATTGCCTTTCCCCAGC